TGGGGGAGGAAATTACTGGATGGATGTAACCATTATAGAATTATCTCATCTGGGGACAGGATATGTTGCTTTCCACAGCTGCATGCCATCACTTGATGGAAAATGGAAATGTCCCTGGACCAGCCTGACTTTTTCCATGGGATGAAGCAGACAAGGGATCTGCAGTCTAAAACATAAATTTATAAAATGTATTACAATTAGCCCTTTTTGTCACTGGAATTTTCTCAGTTGCAAACGATCTCTCCTGGTAGACCAGGGCTTGGGTCACGTTAACAAAGAAGCCCCTGTTCTGCATGTTTCACTGTTCTGGATGTTAGGTGAGGCCTTTTCTGGATGGCTTTGATAAAAAGAAAAAAAAAAAAACCCTGGGGTAGGTCCAGAGAAAGTCTCAGGGACCCAAACTGGGGCAAGAAGGTCCACAGCACCGCAATATGCAGCCTCTTTCAACTTCTGGGCTCTTCCAGAACCAATCCACTCGGGTCCACATGCAGCATGTGCCAAAGGCAGCACTGGGGCGGCAGAGCCACACAAACCTGTGACCTCGGGGCCCTGCTCCCTGCCTGACGCGCCCAGGCAAAGCCCATCAAGTTAATGCTCTCTAGAAGAAAATCCAAGGTATTATTAAGTTCCAAACTTACAACTGATCCCAGGGGCCACACCTCTTTATAAAACTGCACTGCAACAGGAAAGCAAACAGAACAAACCTGGGAAACAGCTCTGTGTGCAAGAGGGAAGGATCGCATCCAACAGCCCAGAGGAAAGAAGGAACAAGTGAGAATGTCCAGAAGCCACAGAGTGTTTAGGGGAGCAAGCGTTCCAGCCCCTCCAAAATTGGTCTGAACCATCAGCCGCTTCCTCTCAGCCCCAGAAAGCAAGGTCTGGAAGGTGCTGTAGGCCACTCTGGAAACAGAGGAGAGAGTTCGAGAGTGTCTGTGTGTGTGCGTGTGTGTGTGTGTGTGTGTGTGCATGTGTGTGTAAGTGTGCATACAGGAATCCACGCTATCACCACCACTGATGATCAGGAGCCCAGGTCTCTGTTGCTGGCAACCATCACAGAGGTGGGGAGAAAGCAAAGATGTGGGCAGGGGAGAAGTGCTAGTTTTCTTAGCCGAGCTGGCCTCAACTCACCTCTGCCCACACCTGCCAGCTCCAGCACAAACAGCCCCTTCCTTAGGGGCTTGGCACCCAGGCGAGCACAGGCATGGGAAGCTGTTCACGCAACAGCCCAGCCACTTGCTCAGCCTAACTTCCAGGGCAAACAGCTTTGAGGGAGGCAGCCAGTGGGCTGAGCGGAGAAGGCCTCGCCCCCGCCACCACCACCCCACTTGTCCGTGCCCTGTCCAGACCGTGAATCCAGTGTGTCAGGTTCTCTGCCACGTGCCTCTCTGTTCCGAAGTGCTCCCACCCCAGCTCCGCAGTCAAACGTGCGGCAACATGTGAAGGGAGCTGTGTTTTGCCCTGGGACGGAAACTGGCTCCAGTGCAGGGAGAGGTGGGCAAGGGAGGCTGTAGGACTCGGGGTGTGCTCCTGGCTACCTGTGGTTTAAATGCCCACACTTCTCAGGGAATTGCTTCTGCCCTCCCCGTGGTCCAGACCACTTTCTACTAGTGAGTAACAACAGCTGCTGCTGGACGCCGACTCACATCTACCGCTATGCTACCGTCAAATGTGTCCCAGAAGTTTCTCCCTGTGACCTCTCAGTGGTAGGGACTCTATCCAGAGCTTGTACTTTGCCATTAGACTCTACCACCACAAATGGCTAAGGCATACAGGCAGTGAAGAGAAGACCTCCCAACGGAAAGCCCCACCCAGGGCGAAGAGAGAACACGAAAAAGACCTGAGAGCCAGGCTCTTGCTCCAGGGTAAATGTCAAAAACAGCCAAGAGCTTCGAGCACTTTCCCCTTCCTGACTCCCTTTTGGTCTGTGTGGGAAAGTCCTATTGCTGTAGGCTCTGGGCTGAGTTGGTGTTGCAGACTGAGCTTAAAGGGAACTTTTGAGTCCATTTGCTTACAGGTGGGGAAACTGTGGTCTCTGGCAAAAAAGTGACCTGCCCAGGGTTTCTCAGTGAGCTGAGGACAGAGCTGGATGTGCCACCAGGCCCCTGAATTCCCGATGCAGGTCTCTGTCCGTGTTTCCAAGCGGCCCCTGTTAGGCCCACTTGACACCGTTTCTTGGGAAAGAGACGCCCCATTTCCATCTGTGAGTGAGAGAGTGTGAGGGGTGAGAGACTTGAGCAGGGGGTAGTGTAGGTGGGAACCTGCTCCTCAAAACAGGCAGCAGGTTTAGGATCTGTGGGGACAGAACTGACTAGGTAGAGTCCCAGCCCGGCCTACACCTGGCTTCCCCCTTTATAGTACATAATACTTGCGTCAGTCACTCTGACATCAGTAAGATATTTTTCCTCTCAACCTTTTTATTTGGGGGCCGGGGAGAGGCAGAGAGAGCTGAAGGGAATGTAGAAACAAACCAAAATAGAGTTGAGTGGTTCTGCTCTGGGGATGCTGAAAAAACAAACTGATTGCTAGTTTGGCTGTGGGCACTGGACGCCCCATCTGGGAAGGGCAGGGTGCATAGGCCTGGCCATCACAGAGATGAATAAGAGCAGTGCCAGGGCACCCATGCCCAGGGGGCTGGCTTGTCTCTTCTCTGGGCATTCGTAACCCCCCAACAGGTACAAGTCCCTGCCTCCCAGCCTCTGCTTTTCAAGGGTCACATCAGGTTCCAAGCACCAAGTTTATAAACTGCTGGTCTCGAGGGAGAAAGACACGAGGACATCGTAATAATCCCAGCAGTTCCCTTAGATCACAGTTGTCCTAAAAGATAATTTAAGGGCCGGTAATGGTGGCATATGTCTGGAATCCCAGCACTGGGGAGACTGAAGCAGGAGGATGGCTGAAAATTCTAGCTCAGTCTGGCCTACCCAGTGAGTTCAAGGCCAACCTGGAATACACAGTAAAACCTTGCCTCAAAAAAATTTTTTTTGTGTGTGAGTTGCACGCCACCTTTCTATTCCACCCAGCTGACAAACCCTGCTGCGTAAAGTAATTTATGTCTAATACTAGTCTGCCACATGATGCTGATAAGACATTTAGCCTCTTATGGACCAGACTTGTGATCAGTCTGTAAAACAGATATAATACTTCCTGTTCTGGCCCTTATCATGGGAATTGAGGGGATGCTTTGTACACTGCAAAAGACCCTGTACAAGTAGACCATAATACTGATCCATCATCCCTTTCTGTGATGGAGACAGAAGAGGACAGGACAGTAAGCGACCCAGGAATTGCAGAACTGGCTCAGCCTCACGATCCTAGCTAAGTCACCCTTCTATCTGGTTCTCTGTTTCCTCATGAGAAACAACAGGGCACAACTTCCAAAGTCACTGCCCCCTCTAAATCCAAATGCTTCTGGAGGGAACATTTCTGTTTCAGGCAGCATAACCAACCAGCTCCCCAGCAGCACTGAGCCCGGGCAGGGTTGCACTGACGAGTGGCATGGTAGGCTGGGGACAGCACTGACAGACTGCAAGCCAGCAGGTAACAGACTGAATGGACACGGGGAGGCCAGGGGGTCTCCCCTCAGCCTGCTGCACAGGACACAGGGGCAGATGGGGTACATAGGCACACTGTGGCAGTCCGTGAGTCCTCCCAGCTCCACTTCTTGGTGTAGTCTAGGCAGGCAGAAGGGCCTAAGTAACACACTTGGTAGGGAAGGCTGCCAGGGAAGGCAAGGAAGAAGGGTGCGGTGGGGCGGAGCCAGCCAAGGCAGGAGCCTCCTTCAGACATTCTTTTGTGGTGCCCAGGAATTGCTGTGTTTAGAAAGCCAAGACTGGCAGTGGGCTGGCTGCAGGGAATAGCAGGGGGTGCCCACCCTGCGCAGGGTCTCCCTACAGCAGATCAAAGATTGGGCAAGACACACGGCGCAGCACATTTTCAAGAGTGCTTTGGGTGTGGCGCTCCTGGAAGGGCAGGTCAGTCTGTACAGGCTGCAAAACTGTCCTCTCCCCTCCTCTTAGACCTTAGATTTGCCTGGAGGATTGTAGGGACCCCAGTGACCAGCTCCAGTGTGTGTGTTGTGTGTGTGTGTGGGGGAAATAAGCATTTTGGTTACAGGCCTCTGTAGATCGCACAGGCTTCTAGGCCACCTCCCTTGAGGTGGCACAGGGGTGGCCTTGCCAAACCCTTTCCCTTTCCTGCTTGCAGAAGGCTCCTGTATCTGGGGGGCCCCGGAAGACCCAGGTGAGGGAAGAAGGTTTGGAGTGGACACCGAGGGCTGTTGCTTCTCCCAGGTTTCCCTCTTCACAGAGGCCGAGTGTGACCTCGGGGCCGCTGCCAGGTGAAGGCCAATCCGTGCAGCCCCACCTGGCCGCTAGGGGGGGCTGGCAGGGGGTGGATGAGGCTGAGCACCTGGTCTTGCCGGAAACTCAGACTTAACCCACCAGGTGTCGATAGACATCTACCCACTCCTTCTCTCCTAACTCTCCTAGAGTTCTCTAAAGCCAAGATAGTTATCGCCCTTGAAAAAAAAAATCAGGATAAGCTAGTCTTTCGGGTAGCGAGGGCGTCGCTCTCCGGGCGACTCAGAACTCAAGTCCTGAGCTCCAGAAAGGGGGCTTGCGACTCCGGCTAAGTGGACAGGGGACCGAGTCCCGAGCCCCACCCGCGGGACCCTACTCGGCTCCCCAACCACGCTGCCCGCTCCTGTCCTCCCTGGCCAGGGCCTTGGTTTCCCGGGCCAGGGTGCCGCGCTTCTCCCCGTCGCCTTCCCCTTTTACACTCGGAGAGGGCCACAGGGTGGCTTTTGCTGAAGGAAGGAGGGGGCCGAACCGGTGTGCGCGCCCCTGGCTCCCTCCGCTTCGGGCGAGGCCCCCACGAGAGCGCCGTCCCGCGCGTGTCCAGCCCGCTGGAGGCCGCGACGCCCTCGCTCGGGTCCGGGTGCGGGCGCGGGGTTGGGCATGGGAAGTCCCGGCGGGGAGCGCGGGGCGGTGGCGCTCACTCACCCAGAAGATGAAGTTAAACCCGAAGAGCAGGTATTTGATGCATTTGGAACCTCCTTTGACCGGCATGGTGCGGGCTGGACGGGCCTGGGGCCGGACTGTGGTGCGACCGGGGGAGTGCGCAGAGGGAACAGAGAGGACCCGGCGCCCGGGACGGAGGGGCTGGCGGCTGCTGGCTGGCCGGGAGCTGCACTTTTAAAAGTGCCACTCCTCACGGCGCGGGCCGCGCGCTGCGCATGTGCATGGAATCCGCCCCGCGACCCCGCCTCCCGCCCACCTGCCCCGCCCACGTGTCCCGCTCCGGCCGCGGGAGCCTCCCTGGCCTCGGCGCCCCACCCTCTGCGAGGCCCGGACCCTCGCGCCGCGCCGCCTTCTTCGCGCCTCCAGTTTTCCTCCCGACCGTCCTGGGGTCTTTCCAGGCCGCCACTGGACAGAGGGGTCATCGGGAGGCCCCACCCTTCCGGTTCCCCCGTGGATTCTGCGCATCCCGCCCTGGTCCTGAACTTGGGGAGCCCCTTCCCAGTTTGTAGAGGTCGTGGAGGCCCCAGGACCTTTTCCCCGGCCCGCAGCGTGTGGGCTCCTGCCTTGACCTCCACCTGCAGGGAAGCTGCCTCGCCTGGTTTCTGTCGCAGGCGCCTTCCTGCAGACCTGCGCCGGCTGGGCGTGTTTGGCACAAGAGTTCGGAGGAGGAGGAATTAGGAGCTGGCGGGGCAGGTGAAGCCATCTGGAGCGTCTGGAAGTTGTTACTAGATACCGATCACCCATAGTTCTATGGCCAAGATCTGGGCCTCCCTGAAGCGGTTGCGAGGCCCAGAAAGGAAAAGACGGTTTTGGGCCAGGCTCCAGGTGCCTACCGAGCGCCCAGCGGTTCTCTTATGCTCGGAAACTTTCGGTAGCTCCCTGCATTTGGTGAGGACCTAAGATGAAGGTCCTCATCGCGCACTGAAGGGCCAGGGCCAGAAACTTTCTCATGGGGCTTTCCGCCGGCCGGGCCCCACCCCGCTCCGCTCACCTGGGCAGCGCCCCAGGTGGTGTCCGCCCCTGCCGGATCAGCCCTGCCCCCTTTTCAAATACTTCTTCCTGATTCCCACGCCTGCGTCCGGACAGCGCTTTTTAACCCCTCCGCATTTTTTTTCCCCAAATGAAGTTTCCTTTAGCGCTCTTTATTATTACGAAAGCAAAACATGCCCGTTACAAAAACAGGAGGAAAGATCAAGAAACAGACAAAAATTTGCTTAGCAGAAATAGCCAGTTAGTGTATTGTAGCTCTTATTAAGCGACTTATTATCATTAGACTTGTCTCATTCATTGATTTCTTCAAAAACTTTTTTTTGCATATCTGCTTTATTTCATTAGGGACAAGAGCGAAAAGTAATGGATTAGATCCTGGATTGGCTCCCGCAGGAGCTCAGAGGTCTGCTGGGAAGGGAGGCAGGCATCCAGACCGTCAGAGGAGGTGGTGTGTGGGGTTCTGGAGGCTCACTGGGGGCTGAAAGAGCTCACAGGAGACCTAGGTTGAACCAGCCACCCCGCCCAACTGCCCCACAGGGGACACTGCCATCGAGGGCATCCTAGGCTCGGGCTCTCAGGCGCTCAGAGGGAGTGTGTGGAGAGGCTAGGGCCAGCTCTGAGGACCTGGACGTTGCCAGACTACAGTCCGGAAGTGGGAGGGGCCGCCGAAGGGTTCCACTGGGGAACGGCTTAGCTGGGGAATGGCTTAACATATTCTAGATTGGTCGCTACTTGGATTTTAGGTACCAATTGGGGGAGGGGTGGAAGAGGAGCTGGGGGTGAGCTCCTGCAGGACGAGGATCATTATTTCCAGTCTTTCTCAGCTTCGGGGAGTTGGAGAGAAGACTGAGATGCTGAAGTTGGGGAGGTGAGATTGGGTGATGTGCTGGGAGCAGGAGAACTGAGAAACAGGGTGGGGACGTTGGGGGGCTGTGGGATAGTTCAGGGGAGAGGCGAACACTAGGGTACAAAGGGCACAAGGTGGGACCCGGAGGGAGAAGTCAGCAGCACAAGCCAGACTGGAAGGCTGCATTCACTTGTTCCTCAGACGTTTGGTGAGAGCTTGCTATGTGTCTCCTAGGGTGCTGGGTGTGGAGGGTAGGGGATGAGATGGGACCACCTCTATCCTTGGAAGGTCATAGGTAGAACTGAGGGACCCAGGAACAGACAGCTAGGTGCAGCCTTGGATCTTTGCTCAAGTGGAGATGCAGTCTGTGAACAAATAGGAGTGCAGGACCTGTCCTCAGATCATCCTGAAGTCTTGTAGTGTAGGGGCACTGTAGTGGCTGCCTTTGGGGGATGAGGTCAGTGGATAGGTGGAGAAAATCCCAGGCACAAGCAACTGTGTGCAGAAGGTACAGAAGCCTGAAGCCACAGACTGGTGGCTGTGTCAGGGAACTACAGGTAGGGAGTGATCTGGGAGGAGAAAGGAAGAAGAGAATGGAGACAGGGTCTGCCTCGAGTCCAATGCTATGGGGACCAACCAGAGGAATGCAAGCAGTGCCTTGATCAGCATCCATGAGGATGGTTCTACCTCAGTGTGTGAAGGTTGGTGTCATTGTGCTGCTCCCTCCAGAGTCCGCTGTCTTGGGAGAAGAGGTTTAAGGAGAAAGGCTTTCTGTAACCCCCACCCCTGCACTCAGCACTGGTGGGAGGAGCTCAGTAAATATTCTAGGGTCACACTGGAAGCTACTTCTCAGGCTAACTGAGTCCTGAAGAAGGTAATCCACAGAAGAACTCAAGGCATGTTCCCACTGTTACTATGATGCGCATTTGCCCCCAAGGGACAATGGGGGCAGCCTACAGTTCTGAACGGTATTGTGTATATTCAGGGATCTTTATCTTGAAATTCACTGTGTAGATCCAAGTTCCCGTTTTAGTTCCACTTCTACTTTAGACAGGTCATTGCTAACTTCAACCACCTCAACTGTGCAACGAGCATGATAAAGACATACAAAAGTCTCCTCCATTCTAGTAGTAGCAGGATGGTGCAATAAGGCTCTGGGCCAAAGTGTGTTTGCTACAGGCAACCAAGGAAGGGGAAATGGAAAGAAATGTGATTTGGCTTAACTGGAAGAGGAAAATCTGGGTAAGCCTTGAGTCAGAGATCACATGGAGGTGGCCAGGCCTTCCAGGCTTTGTGGAGCTGGATGGAGAAAACAGTCCCGCGCCTGTAGGGTGGGGTCCAGTTTCTGCCAAAATCCCAGGGTCCACTTTGGTTCTTGGGCGCCCCCTGGTGATAATATTTGAACAGTAGGGGAGCCAGCAGGCTAGAAATCAGTCACACCCAACCTTCCTGGGAAGGCTTATTCTCTACAGAGGGCAACAGGCAGGTCCACCAGTCTACAGACCACCCAAGGCCTTCTCAGCCACCGTAGCAGTGGCCATCTTGGTTAATCCTCATTTCTAGAATCTTCTTTGCTGCTCCTCTTACTGAATCCCAGTGCCACTGCCTCATGAGGCCTCTGTGAGCACCCCAGTGTCTTCTTTCCTGGGATAACCTCATCTGAGTGTCTCATGTGTGAGTCATTGGCCTCCATCGGCTTCCTGTATGTGGACACAGTTCCACAGTGAGCTCCTCCAAAGTACACTTGCTTTGTTTAACTTCTGTTCTCTGAATCTCCTGTCCCTGGCTGGCCCACAATAGGCCCTGGATAAACATTTGTGGAATAACTGCATAGACATATGTCACTCCCTGCTTCCTTCTCAGCTCTTGCCTTGAGCGCTGCAGGCCCTCCCATGATTTCCTTTGTGAGCTTTCCTCCCTGTAAATTCAAGTCTTGATACCTATTCAGTTATCCCCAGCCCCATCCCCAGAATGTGTGTCTGTGCCACTTTACATGACATAGAGGATGCTAAAGATGGGATTAAATTGAAGGAGGTGGGGTGAGATAGGATAGAAAAAATGAAGATAGAAAGAAGACAAAGAGAATCGTAATTTTTAAATGATACTTTTAAGAAAACCGCAACTTCAGGACAAATCAGTTACCCAAGGTTACCCATATCTCACTCTGTAGGCTTATTTGTAGTGTACTTCTTTTCCACACCCACCAAACCCTAAATCTCTTAAAGAAACTTTGCATTAATTTAGTTGTTAAGGTAAAGGGTAGAAACCTGACCTTGAAAAGTACAATAGACCAGGCCCCACCTTTGTCCAGTAGAATAACCCATTGTCTTTCTACCTGTGGGTGGGCCTTGGCATTTCTCCTATAAACAAAGCCCAGACTTTTTATAGATGCACAAATTCCACAGATTTCCACTCCCTCAAAATCCCTAAGTCCTGACTGTAGCACGCCTCTTTCTTGAAGGCTTGTACTCTATTTTTTAAAATTCTGGCTAGACATCCTCTTTATGTCTCTTACTGATGCATCCTGAAGATTCTTTTTCTGTGATGGAAGTCAGTGGACCTGCAACGGACCTGGTGGGTGGGGTGAGTTGAGGTTCCCCATCTGTGCTTTGGGGCCCTCCTCAGACCCTGTCTGGTGATCACAGGGTAATCACAAAGCTCCTTTCAGGAGAGAGGTGAGAATGAGACGGAAGCAGAGGCTGAGTGATGTGGACCACTCCTGCAAGGTGGAAAAGGGGAAGAAATGAATTGTCTTTCACAGCTGTCATGAGGAACAGCTGCAACTTTGCTAACTTATTCTAGACTTTTAACCTCTAGAACTGTAAAATAAACATCTGGCATTATTTTAAGCCACAAAATTTGTGGTGTTTTGTTATAGGAGCAGTAGAAAATTCACAAAGTTATAAAAATAAACATTAGGATCAGAGATCATCATCTCTGAGGGCCCCCTTCTCCGGAGCCCTCCCAGCCCGCCATCACCTGGAACTCCTCCTGCTTCCCCTAGCCTCATTCCTGCTGAGTGAATACAATGCTTCTTTCCTAGTTTTTCTCCTAATGTCCCTAAGAGGCACCGTAGACTGCTGTTCCATTTAACAATGAGGGACAAAGTCTAAGGCAAGGTATAGAGATTTAGTGCGAAAGATCAGGCCTCAGGTCTTCTGATTCAGCCCCGTGTCATTTTCTCCTCTTTCATTCCTCATGTCCCTAACCATAAAAGGGACCAGACCCTGAAAACTCATTCTCCACCCAAATAACTCTCCTACTCTCCCTTCTGTCCCTATCATCCACCTGTCCAGTCTGTACAATTTGTTGGATGGATTGGCCTGCAGTGTCAGTCATGATAGGCTGCTCTGGTCTGCAGT